TGTCTGTGCTTGTTTCAGGGTGGGAAGAACCGCTCGTGCTGGGAACACCGGACAGGCCTTCACGCTGCTCCTCAAAGTGCAGGTCAGACGAGGACTGGTCGGGAGGCGGGGCAGGGGAGGTGGGAGCCCCTTCCGGAACTGCATGCTCCCCCAGGAGAGGAGGTTCCTCCGGATGCTGACTGAAGCCGGGGTCCCTGAGCTGGAGCGGCACGACACCCCCAGCGAGCTCCTGCAGCCGCTGGTCCCGCAGTACGAGGAGGCCCTGTCCCAGCTGGAGAGGGCCGTCAAGGTGAGGTCCTGGCGGTTCTGGGAGCACTCGGGCTGCTCGCAGCAGGACTCCGACGGAGAGCAGGTCCCGGGCCTTTAGCTTCCTGGCTGAGGGCAGGAGACCCTGGGGCTGGGGTGGAGGTGCAGGGCCCGGGAGGGGTGCTGGGTGTCTCCTCTTGGAGTTGGGGGCTGGGCGGGTCGCACACCAGTGAGGGGCCTGAGCTGCGCTGCTTCCTCTCCCCCAGGAAGAATGGAGGCAGAAGGCGGCCTAGGCCGGGCCCTGAGGACGATGGGACCGAGCCTGGGCGGACAGGCCTCCTGGAGGAGCCTCAGTGCACCGCCTGCTCAGCCCACGCCCGGGTGCGGCCCTTCGTCACGGCAGCAGGCCTGGCCGGAGGCGGCCAAGCACACGGGTCCGCCTCTGATCGGTTGCTCCTCTGGGGCTGGAGCGGATGGTTCGGACGGGCCCAGAACCGACAGGTGGGTGAGGTTGGCCGAGCCGAGTTTTGGACTTCAGCTCGTCTACACCTCAGGATGCTCCCATCTCGTTGGGAACGTGCCCCCGGCCTTACCTTAGCCCCCACCACACCGCGTGCAGAGTAACGAGCACGAGAGGCTCTGGTGACTGTGACTGCAAACCGGCTTCCGAGCTCTGACCTGCTGCTCATGCTGACATGAAGAGACTGAAGGGACGCGCTGGTGTCTCCCTCTGCGCCAGAGTTCGTCGTTCACCCGAGCAAAACAGCTGGTCCCAGGCTCGCGGGTAGACACAGGGCAGGGACGGGTCAGGAGGCAGAGGCTGTCCGAGTGCCAGCGCTTGTCCTGAGCCAGCTCACTTGACTTGCGGTCCCGCCCACACCACCCCTGGCACACGAGGCCCGGGGCACAGGGGCGATGGGTGGAGCCGCCAAGCGTGGAGCCGGCTCGCTCAGGCTCTGTCATCTGGAACGCAGGCCCCTGCAGCCATCACGCCGCCTCCCTCAGCGGGGGCCTTGAGCCTGGTGATGGCCTGCGTCTGAATTGAGGCTGCTGGCTGGGGCCTGGCTGGCCCAGAACCCCGTGTGTGGGGAGGTGGTCGCAGCTGCTGCTGCGCTGCCTTCTGTGGGGCCACGGGAAGCCCCTGAACCTGATCGTGGGGGGCCCTCTGGCAGGATGATGCTGCTCTCAAGGTCTGAGGAAGGTTTCCCTGATTTCCTGAACATTCTTATTCGCGAACAGAGCTTTGGCTTTGCCTTTGTAACCAAAGGCCTATTAAAATGATTTCCCCGACAAAAAAAAATGCGCCATGATACAAAGTTAAGGGCTGGGAGCCCTGGCCAGTTTGGCTCAGTGGATAGAGTCGGCCTGTGGACTGAATGGGTTCTGGGTTCAATTCGTCAGGGCACATGCCCAGGTTGTGGGCTCGATCCCCAGTGCAGGGCGTGCAGGAGACAGCCGATCAATGATTCTCATCATGGATGTTTCTATCCCTCCCTCCCCCTTTCTCACAAATCAATAAAAATATATTTTTAAAAGTGCGAGAGTGAGACCTGTGGCTGCTCTAGAGTCCGCTGCGCAGAGGGGTCGCAGCCCAGGCTTGTTTCCTGTCCCCCCTCAGCCTGCACCCCCACCTGCTGGGGAGCCTCACCAAGCAAGCCCTTTGCCAAGTGCCTGAAAGAAACCACCAGCACCTTGCACTGCTTTTCCACGAGACAAGACGAAAAACATATGAAAAAGACTTTTATTATGCTGGGGGGGGTATCAGTGCTCTTCAAAACCCTACTGTTCAAGTACAAATGATTGTTTACAAAGTATTTACAGCCTCAGTCTTTTAAACACAACTATTTGGTTACAACACTTAACAAAAAACCCTAAAGGTCACAAAAGGAACGCATCTGCGCGTGCGGACCAGCTCCTGCTTCCCATCGGACCCCTCTCCTAGGGAAGCCTGCTCCTGGGGGGCCAGCTCGAGTGGTCAGTCCTGCTGGGTCTGCATCCGAGAGCTCCCTCGTTAGTGTCGGCAGAAGCCTGGTCCCTGGCAGCACGGGGTCCACCAGCAACGATGGGAGGCCCCGGAACAGCCTGCGAAACCCTCTAACTTCAGTGTGGACTTTGGAAGGAGGGTTTTTACCTCCGTGACCATGGACGAGCAGGTCGGTGACCCGTGATGTGACGAACCCAGAACAGGACAATCTCCTGTCGCACGTCTTGCATCTGAGTGGCTGCCGGAAGCACCTGAGCGAGGCTCTCCCTCCACAGAGCAGCTGCGCTCTGCCTGGCCGGCAGCCTCCGTCCCCGCTGGCTCTGCCCGGGGGCTCCCGCTGCCAAGGCCCGGGGCGGCCGAAGTGCGTCAGTCAGTCAGTCACCACTGCCTGAGGGACGGCCAGCACCCTCGGGAGGACGAGAATGCAAACTGCACAACAAATAAGCCCCAAACACGGCCTCTGCTCCCTGCACACGAGGATGAGGGCGAAGAGCAGGCAGTCTCCCAGGGACAAGGCGGAGCCCTCTCAGCGCCATCCTGCCGTCCTGCCCGTCGGCTGGTAGCGAACGTTCTGTTTCCATACGTGCAGCTCACTGAAATGTTAAATAAACACCTTCCCTTTTCAGCTTTCCTCCAAATGTTGCACAAGAGTTTCACTCACTGGCTCCCCAAGCGTCGCCGCCCTGCTGTCCACACAAACGGAGGGAAACCAACACCTGACGGAAGCTGTCCCTGCCAGTGAGCAGTTCGGTGGGGAGGGGAGCAGAGATGGTCACGCGTCTCCCAGGCGCTGCAGCTCATCTCCGCGCACAGACCTGACAGCCCATCTGGACCGAGTCGGATGCCCCGAGCAGGGAGGCGTCCTCGGAGTGCAGTATGCGTGGCGAGCACTGCAACTCTGCTGCCATCTCGCCAGAGAAGACACGGATACAAGTGCAAACATAGGGCCTCTGCCCTCAGCCGTGGTTCACCCTCGCACAACCACGATGGCCCGGGCCTGCTTGTGTGGGAGGCCCTGGCCCAGAAACCAGAGGTCTCGTCTACGGGAAAGAGCTACAGCAGACCAGCTGTGTGAGCAGGCGCCCAGCTCTGCGGACAGGCCGGGCCGGGCTGGGCCTGAGCCAGGGGACCTGAGCCCCACGCCGAGCACGCACACGCACACGTACACACACGCACGCACACGCGCACGCACGGCTGTGACACCGGCCTGGGCCCGACCAATGTAGACCAGGGCTCAGCTCCTGGAGCCGCCTCGGCGCCAAGTCCGAAAGCCGGGAAGGACCGAGGTGCGTGGGGACGGGGAGCGGCCGGAAGGCGCCATCTGCATGGAAAAGAGTCACACCGGCTGCTCTGTGGAATGAAAGTCCAACCCCAGCGTTGTCCCTCCCTCCACGCCAGCTGGTACGCAGAGCTGCCTCGATGGCACGAGGGCCAGATGGCTCCTGGGAAGGTCCCAGAAGTCACTCTGAGGAGGAAGCAGCCACCCTGGCCGCCCGGATCTGAGCTGACTGACCTCAGGTGGCCTCTCCTCCAAGGACCAGGATGCGTTTTGCGTTGGGTCTAAAGAACCACATAGAGCCCGACGCTGCGCTGCCCGAGACCGTGTTTATGACTCACGGGTCTGAGTCGCCCCGTGATGTGCGGCCCTGGAGGCCCTGGAAGGTGGAAGGACCTGGAGAAGCTGCGGCCCGAGAGCGCTGCACAGGCGGCTCCCCTCGCCGCAGCGTCGGGCTGGACCCCACAGGACACGGCCCCCAGTTCCACAGGACGCAGCCCTGCCCTTCTGGCCCCATGGGGCCCTGCTCGGTGAGGGCCGGAGGCACCCGCTTTCCTGACTAGGGGCACGGAGGCTTGGTGGGCGTCTTTAACCGGACGGCAGGGACGCGCATCTGTAGCTTGGGCTGCTGGTTGGGGCTGTCAGCGCTGGCCGGCACCTGTGTGGGGGTGGGAACGCCCGGGGTCTGCAGCTGGGCCGCCGCCGTGGTCACCACCTGCTGCTGCAGGAGCTTCTGCTGGACGGCCTGGGCGGCCGCGGTCACTGCGGGGATCACCTGGACCTGCGGCCCCGCTGCCGCCGCCTGGGTGAGCGTCACCGTCTGCGGGGAAGCCTGAGCCAAAACAGAAACATGTCACCAAGGCGTGCAGACCGAGCCGCAGGACAGACCCCAGGCTCCGGGCCGGGAGGGGGTAGGAACAATGAGCGCGGATTCTTTGGAGAAATGTGAGGACTACCCAGCAGGCTGAAGCAGGGCCTCTGGTCTTTAACCAACGAGTAGAAAACGAAACCTCCCGGGCTAGAGCGATGCCCTGGGAGAGGCGAGGGCCGAGGGCCGGGACTGGTGGTGGTGGTGGTGACATTCAGCCTTTACTGCCAGGCTGTCCCTTGAGCCACGCGGCTTGAACGTGCACGTGGAGTCTGCTAAGGGCAGCCGTCGAGGGTGGGGCGGGGGGTGGAGGGCAGACTAAGCCAGACGCTCTCAGCTGCTGGGCTGGTGCGAGGCCTACACCCACGCTGTTCAAGGGTCAACATCTTTGTTTCCTTGAAACCCACACTCAGTGAGGTTCTGAAAACCAAGGTGTCTGAGTGGAGATCAATGTCACAGCCGCCGTCGGGCACCGGGGGGGAGTCATGCTGCCCCCAGCCATGGTGCTGACACCTTTAGCTTCCCTGCCACAAGGGGCACCTGGCATTGCTGGCGAAGCTCTGATCCCAGAGTGAGCTCCGCGGGTGCCTTTGGCCCTGAGCCTGTGGGGTCTTGTGTTACGAAAATCAGTGATTCTCTGATCATCAGAATCCTGCGTCCTCAGGAGGAAGACCAAGAGCTCTTTCTGTTTGGAAACACGGAGGCTGCCGAGAAGCCCCCGGGGAACTTCCCAGGCGGCTGCCATCTCCGCACCTACCTGCTGGGAGGCGGAGGCGACCTGTGGGAGGCCGGCCACCGGGCTCTGCTGCTGCACGACCTGAGGGAGCTTGGCCACCTGGGACAGAACGAGAAGAGCCACGCGCAGAGTTCAGAGCGTACGCACAGAAAGGTGCCCCTTCTTCCCTTCTCCGTTATTAATTTCAAAAAACCAGGTGACGGGAAAGAGCCTTCCCCAAGGGGGCTCGCCTGGCCCGAGAGAAGACCTCACGCTGCGTGCTGACCCGTCCTGGCCTGCAGCCCATGTCACCTGGTCTCGCACTTTCTAAGAGGACAAAGGAGGGAGTGACACCGTCTAGCCGTTCACGGGTCTCAGAGCCCCTTCCTGAAGTCTGGGCGACACTCCAGGTTGGGAGGGGGGCCCACAGGTGAAGTGACTCAGGCCAAGGAAGCGGTGTGGCCCCTCCCTGTCCTGGCACCTGCGGCCCCTGCGATCCAGCGCGTGCACTGGCTCCTGCTCACCTGGATCTGGGTCTGCACCTGCTGCGTCGCGGCCAGCTTCTGCGCCTGGGAGATGGGTGTGCTGAGAAACTGGGTTTTCAGGGCTGGCTGGGCGGCGTAGGCGACCTTCTGTGGCTGGCCCTGCGCAATCTGCTGAGCGGTGATCTGAAGAGACGCCCGGGTTAGAGCCACGAGGCCCCCCCCAACTGCAGCCCCGGCCTCTAGCCTCTCCCGAGTCCCCCGCCCCAGGTCAGCCTACTGAGGAGGGGTTTGCTTTGGGGCCTCAATCAGTTCAGTGCTGCCTCCCCCAGACGTCCGAGTCAGACACTGATAGGCCTCCTTCGCGTTGGGATGTCTCCCCCTCCCCCCTCGAGCACACACAGGACCAGGTCCCCGCCTGGATCCTCGGTTCTGTGCACTAGCGCCTAGGTGGGCACACACTATGACCTACATCTGCTTCCCCAAACCCTGTGGCCCTTATTAGCCATGCAGCCCACAGCCCGAGTCCTCACTATTCCCCAAAAGCCCGCAGTGAACACAGCTCCCCATCTCATACCCCCCTCCCGCCCGGGGCCTTAGAGCAGCACCAACATCCAGGCCACCCTCTGTGCAGCCCAAATGCACGTCCTTGGGGTCCCCTGTGTGGGTGTCAGGCAGCGAGGCAGGGCCCATTCGGACCCCGTCCTCTGCGCCCTGTGCCTAGTGGCAAGGCCCGGCTCAGCAGACAGGGTGACCCCAGAGCCCGCAGGAGCCCGTACCTTCTGCTGGACGGCGGCCGGGCCTGGGGCGGCCTGCGGCTGGATGGCCTTCTGCTGCTGCACAGCCTGCTGCTTGAGCTTCAGCAGCTGCTGCACGTGCACGGGCTGGGCCACCACGGTCTGTCCTGCGAACACCATCGAGTGGGTGAGTCAGGCGCGGAGGCAGGCTCGCCCTGCGTCCCCGCGCTTCCCTGAGTCACTGCCTGCTACAGAGAACGGCACCCTGACCCTGCAAGACAGACAGGCACCTCCTACACACACCGAGATGCTCTTCGGCCACCAGGACACTCAGAGCAGCGACTGTCAACTTTCCCACCTCCTGGCACACCAACAACACTGCTCACCGAACTGACAGAAAAATAGGTAGTTTTGGTTGCTTCACAGCGAGGGCTATTACTGTTGGTTGTCAGTTTTTTACTTGACAATCTAAGGCAGGGTGGGGAACGTCCAGCCCTCAGACCAGATGAGGCCGTGAAATCATTGGTCTGGCCCTGCCAAGGCCTGAGGGGTGAGTTAGTGAAATGTCTGACCAGATGTAGCAGGCTCACGTGTAAGCTGACAGTCTGGCCTGTGAACAATGCTGACGTACCCAATGCCCTGGGCAGAGCCAGGCTCCCAGCCCTGCTCTGGGGGGAGGAGGTCAGTGCCCGATACATGACCAGTTACTGCCGGTTGGAGCATCCCTGGGGCACAGCAGCTGGCAATCGCTGAGATAAACGGGTGGGAAGTTCCCAATGTTCACGGTTAAATCGAGGGTCAGAGCTTGTACTCGGGCAACGCGGCGAGGCTGCCCCTCGCGTGCACCACGGCCCTCAGCACGCCGTGTGGCGAGGGAGCCAGCCCCTCCCGGCCCCGCGGACGTGGGCAGGCACCTGTGGCTTTCTGCGGCTGCCCGATGGCCACACTGATCCCAGCAACGTTCATGGGCAGGGTCGTGACGCCTGGCGAGGAGACCACGGCCGCGGGCACGGACACCACCGGAGGCTTCGCCAGGGCCCCTGGTTTTTTACCTGGGCCGGAGGGGGCGCCTGTGCCTGCATCTGGCCTTGCGCCTGCAGCTGCGACGTGGGGACCCGCGTCTAAACAGAAAGAGGGGCCCAGAGGTTCAGCCACCTGTGTGTCTGCAAACATCGCCCACAGGAGGCCACGTGGCGAGACGTGGACGGGCCGCAGGGTGGGAAGTGGCAGCCAGCGAACGGCTAGCATCTCCCTGGAGGCCGACCTACGCTGTCCAACCATCACCAGCACGCGGGACCCAAAGCTCATCAGTCACACGGCGTCCTGACCCTGCAAGGGCACCTCCTGTCCTTCAAGCCGCCCAACTGCGCTGTGCCCCACAGGCCCTCTCGTTCCTAGTCCTAACGATCACCCCTGAAGCCAACTTCCTAACACACTGTGTTCAAGCCCCTTCTTGTCACGTGAACACGGGTGGAACTACACGTGTCTGCGGGCTTTACCCGCTCTGTCCCGTCTGGCAGAGCTGAGCCAGAGAGCAGGTGACTCCCTGGGATTTGGGCAGGCGACCTCACCTACCGGCTTCAGGTTCTGTACGTGCGAAGTGGGGTAACATTAAAACACCCCCTCCTGCCTGAGCACCCATCAGGGGGCAGGTGCCACCTCGGGCAGGTGATGCCAGCTACACCCGTGCCAGGATGGGGTCTCTAAGCCGGCCACCTGGCCTGACCGGAGGGCCTGCATCGACACGGCGGAACGTGAAGGACCTCCCGACTTCCCGTCTCTCGGGGCTTCCCAGGTGCTGAGCCGTCCTCAGAGCAGCCGAACCTGCTCCTCCCCGGCTCCTCCCCACAGGCCCCACAGCACGGCGACCCCTCCCGCATGCCCGTGTGCCATCCCCGACGTCGACCCTGCCCTCCCGCCAGGTCGAGCTTCTGCCCTCCTTCCTCCCCCGAGCGCTCAGCCACGAGCTGTGACACTTCCGTTCCAGGAAATACAATCACTTAAATGCTCCCCAGGGGCCGTTTCATCCTCTCCAAGGAGAACAGGATCTTGGGGGGAAAGCGCACCTACTCGACTCCCAAGTCCACCACCACACCTGCGTCCACACAGCAGGAGCCGCGCAGGAGCGTGGGAAAACCAACGCCTCAGGGGAACTTACGAGCCGGGCCACCTGGAGGTTGGCCACGGTGGTGCCCGTGAGCAGGGCCCCAGGCCGCGAGGCGGTGACGGTGGCGGGTGGGGCCTGTGGCGGGGGGGCCTGCTGGGGCAGCTGCAGCTTCTGCTTCTGCATTTTGATCAGGTGTTCCTAAAACCAGACGGAGCGGCTTTTCAGCAACGCCAGCAGCACCACGTGCACACCCTGACCGACACGGCCAGCTGAGCCTCCCATGCTGCAGCGACACCGCGGGCGGCCATGAGCTGGCACGTGGCTGGAGCGACCAGGAATGGATGGCCTGTCTGGCTGCACTCTGATTCCCTGGGAGGCGCCTGTGCCCTCAGGAGGAAGCTGGGTGCAGGCCGCTGTCCCTGTGAACGGGGAAGGGACAGGCGCAGGGTGACGGACTGGGCAGGCCCGACAGCCGGCGGGAATTTTTATTTCACGTTCTTTGGTTGCTGCTTATACCTGGTCTTAGTGCTCTTCCAGTTACGGCAGGAAGGTCATGTTTCCTTTAAGAGGAATGTGTTCACAGCCATGTCAGCACGGTGTGCAGCCTGGCAACGCTCGGGCATCGCCTGTGAGACCCGAGGCTGCACGGAGCTGCCCGCCCAGAGCCTGCCCAGCACACAGCACAGAGCACAGCAGGCGGGAGGCGCCTCCAGAGGCTGCCAACAAGCTATTTCTGAAGACAACACTCACCGCCCGCCTGCAGACGAGGTGCGTTTATGCACAAAACACCTGAGCTACGCCACGTCACGGCGCCACCCACGGGCCCGTGGTTCCCCGGAGGGCTCACCGGGGTCAGCTTGCTGACAGCTTTGATCTGTGCGGGCGACTGGGCCTGGCCCTGGAGCTGCGGGACCTGCGCCTGGGAGGGCGGTGGAGGCGGCGGCGGCGGCTGCTGCTGCTGCTGCTGCTGCTGCCGGAGGAGCTGGAAGTGTGCGGGCGTGAGGGTCTTCCCCGGGAGCTGCACGCCTGTGGCTGGAGAAGTTGTTTCATTAGCGGACACTGCTCCCTCCCCGACAACACACGGAGGCCGAGTCCTGCCTCTCAGGGGGGACGGGAACCGGAAACCCACCGCCTTTACCTTGGGACACCTGCGTCACCAAAGACCGGGCTGGGGCCTGCACGGCAGCCAGGCTGGTGGTGACCACGGCCGAGGCCGTCACGGAGGTGACCGCACGAACGCCCTGCGTCGGCGCCAGGGACACCAGGTCAGACGTGGCCGGGGAGCCCACTGCTCGGGGCTGGGTGTGGACCACCTGGGCCGGTGTCGAGCCTCCGGAGCTCTGGAAAGGCAACACGAGGGCCCGTCAGGGGACTGCTCTCTCCATCACTGGGTGGAAAGGGCACCAACTAAATCCATGGCCATCCTGGAGGTGCTGAGCCTCCGGGAGACGCCCTTGCACACTCAGCGCTGTCCTGAGCTACAGCAGGTTGCTCTGCACCTCCCTCAGTGGTCGGCAAGTCCCTCGCGGTATTTCCAAAGGAGACAGAGCCGGGGCTCCTGTGGTCCCCTCGGCCCCTGGCTTCCCCACAAGAGGGAGAGGTGAGCTGCTGGCCTCCAGAGACCCTGCCCCAGCCTAGGCCAGCAGAGCCCCGTGCAAGCACCGTGGGCTTCAGCCATGTTTGATCCCCACATCACAGGAAGCGGTGCTCAAAAATGCATCGTGGATGAATTACTTTATCTTTTAAAATACCACAGGTCCGCCCTCGCCAGTGTGGCTCAGTGGATAGAGCATAGGCCTATGGACTAAAGGTCCCAGGTTCAGTTCCAGTCAAGGGCACATGCCCAAGTTGCGGGATCGATCCCTAGTAGGGGGCGTGCAGGAAGCAGTTGATCAATGACTCTCATCATTGATGTTTCTCCCTCCCTCTCCCTTCCTCTCTAAAACCAACCAAAACATATTTAGGGGGCGGTTAATTGGGGGAAAAAGAGACGTATGTAAATCTTTAGACAATAGAAAATAAATATTGCTAAATAAATATATATGTGTGTATAATTATTATTAAAAACTGAACTGAACTAAAGCATCTCAGGTCCATGTTACTTTATGAAACTCAGCCAGCTCAATACGTTTCCCAACAAGCCAACGACTTGCACAGCGTCCTCGACTACTGACCCCCCAGGAGCAGGCAGCTCACCGTCAGGGCTCCAGGCGCCACGGGCGAGGCCAGGCGCTTGTTAATGGACTGGAAGGTGGCGGCAGGGACACCCGCGATGGTGTTCACGATCACGTTTCCGCTCACTGTGCCTGCAGAGAGAGGGTCTGTGGGGCAAGAGCACGCGAGACAAGTGAGTTCCCACTGACATTGCTGGCCCTTACCTGCTGGCATGCTTGTCCCCGTCACCGGCGTCTTGATGGCTCCGGCCTGCTGGAGAGAGACGTGACTTGCACAGGCACACGGCACACCCTCCCAAAGCTCCCATTCTGTCAGCATCAAATCCAAACTCTTGACCATGGCTCCTGGCCACACAGCCGACTCCAGCGCTGTCCCAGCCCCTCCCACACTCTGGTGTCCACCCCTCAGTGAGTGGTACTCCAGCCACGCGGACCCTGCTGGCCCCACAGCTGCCAGGCTCGGGCCTGTGCCTGCCAGTCTCCATTCCTTCCCGACTCCTGTCGCTCAGGCACAGCCCCTCCTGAGCACCCACCAGGGTTCTCCGGGTGCTGCCTGGCCGGAGGCCTGCCCACAGACAGAGTCCCTGGCACAGGAGCTCCTGAGTGCACTTCCTGAACGAATGAGGAGGCTGCCCAGGCACAAGCGAACCCCCACCCCCCGCAAAGGAAATCAGAGCAAAGGGGTTGGTTCTGCAGACACCCCAGGCCTGGCTGACAGTGCAGAGCAGCTGAGCCTCCATCCACTCCTGGGTCTCGTCCCACTGTGAGCTCAGCGTGGCCACATGGGCACCAGAGGGAGGGCACACGCCAGGGCGGGACGGTGCCAGCGTACGGCCTGTGAGATCACCAGCCCACTTTTCTTTCCTTCTTTTGTGCATTTTACCCCTTTTCTCTGACAGGCACTGAGGGTTCACGCGTGCACATGCTTTGAGGAAAACTACCAAGTCAGAAGAGAAGTTTGCAAACTGGCAAACAGTGTCTGCTCTGCAAGTTCATGGGGAGGAAGGGCGACTTCCTCAGTTAGGCTCACACATCCTCTCTGACTCCGAGGCTCCTGCACCACTGAGCTCTCCCAGCACAGGAGCCCTGCAGGAGACACCCGTCTCCCCGACAGGAAGGCGCCTGCTGCTCTGGGCGCTGCAGGAACCTCAGGCGCTTGAGGGCAGGGAGGGCCTTCTCACCAGCACGGCGGCACTGCCCACCGTAGTGATCGCAGGGGGTGCCTTCTGTGGGGGCTGCACAGGCTGTGCTGGAGGCTGCGCCTGGGCCGGGGGCTGCACGGCGGGCGGCCCCGAGGGCTGCTGGCTGCCGGCGGCCGCTGGGGGCTGGGGCAGAGGTGGTGGTTTGCTGTGCCTTCTGCTGGTCGGCCAACGCCTGCAGGGCAGGAAGAAAGGAGATGGAGCACTGGGGCTTCGACTGCCTGATGGTCGCTGCCCCGTGTGCCCAGGCCCCACACCTTCTTCTCTTTGGCGATTCGCTCGGCACGGAGAGACGCAACCTGGATAGGAGGCAGGGGCTTGTCGTAGTTGATGCCACTAAAGACAAGAGAAGAAATAAAAATAAGCCGCAAGTTCTGAAGCACAAATATTCCTGAAACCCACAGCCCATTCTTAAAGCTGCCGGGTGCTGGAGGAGGCTCCCACCCAGCCCAGAGGCGGGGTGTGGGGCGGACCAGCCTGGGAAGGAGAAAGGCTGCCCGTCACCCCCGCCCACGGTCGGTCCCCTCCAGGCCCGACAACAGATGCCCAGGCCTCCAGCTGCATGAGCACTGCGCCCCCACCCCGGGCACAGCGCCCGGCCAGCAAGCCCCAGGGCTACAGGTGCCGCAGGTCTCCTCACCCCCTCACAGACCCCTGCTCCCGGGGCTCCTGCGTCCTCCCCCACATTGTCACCTACAGGCCGCCTTGATCCAAAGCAAGTACGTGCACCCACAGCTGGGCACGTTTTTACAGAAGAGCCAGCACAATGTTTGCAGGGCAGGGGTGAGGCGGAGAGGAGAGTCCCCCGTCCCGCTGCTGTGCCCTCTGCCAGGCCGGCAGGCAGGACGCCGCCTCCACACCCTCCTGTGCGAACAAGGATCTCCCTGGACGAGCCCCTGCCGGGCCTGCCATTTGCTAACAGCTCAGTAAACTGACGGCCTGTCAGAGGACTGGGAGGTACCGTCTCAGAGGGAAAGCACGTCACAACAGTACCTTTCTGCCAGCACGGACGCGTGCTTGGGGTTTTTCTGGAAGGGGTTCATGCCAAGCCTGCAGCAGAGACGGAGACAAGTCACCGCGTGAAGGAAAAAGGAGACACGCAGCACAAACGATAGGACGAGCCTCCCGCCCTGGCCCCGGCCGCCGCGTGCAGGGAGCGTGGGCCTACAGGGGCTTGATGGGGGGGCTCCTCTTGCCGGCGGTCATCTTCATCAGGTCGAAGTGGCTCGTGTACAGCTGGGTGTGCGTGGCGTTCTCGTCCTGGGCGTAAATCTGGCCCGTGCGCAGAGGACGGTTGTTCTTGCTCTGGAACAAAATGGTCGGTTAGACCGCGACCCTGGGACGGGGCTCACTGACTGGGAGGCCTCAGGTGAGGCCGTGATTAAACCCCTTCTTCCTGGGACAGCACACACAACAGCAAGGGCACAGCGGCCGGCACCTGCCGCCCGCCCACACCTCCTCGGTCTGTGCCAGGCCTTTCCACACGTCCCTGAGTGAGCCGCCCGATCAGCAGCTGCAGACAGAGAGCCGCTGGCCCAGCGCTTGAGGCCACAGACAGGGATGAAGCCAGCACCTTCCCCAGCAGCCTGACCTTCCCTGGGGCCTCTGCCCACAGCGAGCTGTGAGGGGGCGGACATTCCTGCCGCCAGGCTTTTCTCGGGGACTTGGCACTGCTGGTGCCTGGTGACGCTGCCTTCCTGAGTCCCACAGCGACACCAAGTGCCTGCCGGCTCCCAAGTCACCCGTGCCCGCCCAGCGCTGACTCCCCGGTTCCTGGCGACGGACGCCAAGGACCCAGCTGTCCGACGACCGCAGCAGCGTGATGCTCGGTCCGTGTGGACCTGAGGCCTGGAGTCACCAAACCAGCCCAGCGGCCAAGTCAGGGAAAGCACAGACCAGGCTTCACAGGAGCTACCGCGCACGCGACGCTCCGCTTGCTGACCTGAGGCGGCAGGACCTGGCGCCCGGAGCCACACAGCACCTTCCAAGGACCAAGCAGCACGGTGCCCAGACCGCCAGCCTCAGGCCCCGTCCCCTGGCGGAGCCCCTGTGCCCTGTGCCAATGGCCCCGGTCTCACCTTGCCCTCCTCCCTGGGGATGAGCACGCTCTCATAGCGGCTGCGGCACTGCTTGGAGGAGCGGTAGGTGCGGCTGCAGGAGTTGACGACGTCGCTGACCAGGTCCCAGTTGGGCGTGTGGGCCGGGGACACGATGGCGAGGCTCAGAGGCAGCTCCAGCAACTGCTTCACGGCCTAGAGGGCCAGGCGGGCATGGTCAGCACAAGGAGGCGGGGAATCCCCCCGCGTGGGCAGGGCGTGGACGGACACATGGGAAGGGGCGCGGATGGACACGTGTGGAAGGGGCGCGGACGGACACGTGGGCAGGGCGCGGATGGACACGTGGGAAGGGGCCGGG